TGAACATCATCACCAATGAATATGAATTGATATAGAGACTCATTAACAATAATGAGAACTACCACGAAGGTGAGCAAAGAAAATGTTCAACATAAGATCGATAATGACAAACTACTATACAACCAATTGACAGTACTTTTTCACAAATGGTGACAAACTCCATATTCTGAAAATCCTGAACCAATAAAAGTCATTTGATGTTACTTATGAGACATTACTAAACTATATGAATGATGTGAATATGTCTTGAGGGACTTGGAAGGTTACGCTATGACGTATGAATTTAAACAACCTCTAAATCTCCATTTATACCTAGTGTGAACTTGATAATTCGAAACTACAAATGTCATTGAAGAACTTTCAATCAAATAAAGAATATTGTTGATCAATGTCGTACCATTAGGATTTGGGAATGAACGAAGTTATATGCAAACATGTTAAGTATGCCCAAAAATACGATGTTATACACTGCAAAAGAACCTTATTTGGTGGCGCTAACTCTAACAGAAACCTATAAAAGGATCATTGGATACCTTGTTTAATCAAAGATGGTTAATCTCTCAAAGATAGAACAAGTTTGATGACATTAACGACTTGAGAATAAGTATCTGTGGGCTTAACGACGTAATCAATTGAATGAACATGACGCTGTCATGTGGCATGACTAGGGCTGGGTCGGGAAAACCGAAAACCGAACCGAAATCGATCGAAACGAGCTAGAAAAAAAACCGAACCGAAAAAACCGAAACCGAATGTAAAAAAACCGAACCGAACTGTTATTGTTTGGTTCCGTTTTGGTTTTTACTTTGAAAAACCGAACCGAATAAACCAAACTTATTTATATGCTTCATTTTATTTATACGAGTATATGTGATATGTATAAAAATCATATAAACAAAAATGCAAATAAATTATATAAACTTTAAAAAATCTAAAAATATAAAAACCCAATAACTAATCCTAATATAGAATTATATAACATTAAAAATTAAAATGAGTAGTTAACATATTTAAATAAAAGAAACTTTGATGTATAATGAAAATGAAAGTATTATATAAAAAAAATCCAAATTCTCTCCAAATGATTTTACATACGATATCTTTAAGATTATTTAGAATCTTCTAAACATGCGTCTAGGATATACATGATGTTATGAATGAGGTTAAGTTCACGCATACGTGTATATTTGATTCCATACGAAAACAACTTGTTCAACATGGCGGACCTGGGTTCAGAACTGGCTGATAATCGATTAACCACTATTGATAATCGATTATCACGCTGTGCAGTTTCTGTCCCCAAGTTCCGCAAGCCATGACAGTCGATTGTCACTTCATGATAGTCGATTGTCAAAGTATTTAGTTCCGGACACCCAAGTTTTGAGAGGTCTGATAATCGATTATAGCTACGTGATAATCGATTATCCGTAAACCAGCCCAGACTTGAGAATCCGCAAGGCCTGATAGTCGATTATCACATATGTGATAATCGATTGTCACGCTCTGCTGATCCTAACGAGAAGTTCTGTGCAGCCTGGTAATCGATTGACCAGTCCTGTAACTCGATTATCATGGTGCGTAGTTCCTCATTTAGCTATTTTGATTATAACCATAACGTAAGAAGTTTCCGAGATGAACGTTTATGTTTTCGCAGTGAATGAACTATGAAGTTATGGATTATCAAAGCGTTTATATCAACAAATTCATAATCCAGAAGCCTAGATAACGAGTAGCCATGATAATGCGGACACACGTACGTTTAGCCGGATAATTCTATGAATATAGCGATATGATTATACTACAAGTTCTAAAGTTAGAGGGCAACGTACTCACCTCTAACGCAGGGATTGACAATATGGAAACGGATGAATGAACGGCTAACGAACGGACGACGATGGACAAGGAACGGCCTCACGCGTAGTCCTCCTTATCTTCTCCCTTCTTCCTCTTCACTTTCTCGCCGGAAACCCCCTCGCCTGGCTGGTGTTGTGGTTGCCGAATGCAATGGAGGAAGAGAGGGTTGTGAGAGTGTGTGTAAACTTGGGGGTGTTACAAGTGTGGTGGAGAAATGGAGGGTGAAGGGGCTTATATTAAAAAGGAGATTAATGGGCAATGATGGAGGAATTAAATAAAATCAATGATGGGGAATTAAGGGGATGGGGTGGCGTGTGGGTGTTATTGGGAGTTACCTCCCATTAATTCGTTCCGTTGTGTAAAATCTGACCTGAACGGTATGCGAGTTTTCCCCCGAACGGGTCAAAATTGAGATCCAGTTGCGTTTCTAGAATCAGACAGTCAAGACGAATATTATGACGTGTCCAAATAATTTTTCTAAGGTTTTTATTTTCCCAACCTCGGTCCGAGTTAGTAATTAATTAATTAAATTAATCAATTCTAATAGGCCGGGTCGTAGGGCGTTACAAATACTCCCTCCATCCTAAAATTAACTTCTCATTTTGACTTTTGCAGTCAAACTTTTTAAACTTTGACTGTATATTACGGAAAAAATATACCCCGTATTGAATTTTCATATAAATTTATTATCAATAGATTCATTTTGAAACATAGTTTTGAAATATATTATTTTTATTATATATATTCATATAAAAATGGAGATACTAATGGTCAAAGTGTCGCATTGGAGACTGTGAAAAGTCAAATGAGAAGTTAATTTTAGGACGGAGGGAGTAATAATAATGATATTATCCTAACAAAATATCAATATATTGTTATAAACAAATAAACCATGAAGAACAATTGTGATTGAATATGTTGTGTGAATATCCTTATTTAAATAATAATTATGAAAATGATATTGACTTTTAAGGGTATCTAGAAGAACTTTAAAATATACCCATGTGACCAATTTAATTAGGTCTTGCGGGTATGATGCCTAGTAGACGGGGTTAAAACATACGTACAGGATCCACAAACCAAAGTTGAGTACCTACTTGTTTGGGGTACAACCCAACTCGATAGTGACTAGTCCACTGTTCGGTTTTGAGCGTGATCTATAAGACTCGTTAGATGAATCATCGATTCTTGTGTTCTGCCTTAAACTAATATTTACTTTAAGAGCCAGGTTAGAAATATTGCCTTAGACTAATTATAGTTTAAGAGCTCCGTTATCAATATGAATTTGGCCTTAGATTAAAAATCATTTAAGAGCATTGTTGAAATAATAAATATTGAATACCTGAAATTGAATAACATGTGTTGATACTTAATGATCTGATATGAACTGAACATTATCAATATCATGCATATTGAATATCTAAATGAAATATTATGTGCATGATATCAAATGATTTGATTATGAATTGAGATTTAATTTATGTAGATATTTGATGCAGCTTCACAGCTGAGCTTGTAGCATGTTTTATTTGCTACATGTAGTTAAATAAAAAGAATGATGTGATATGATCCTGGCGGAAGACGGAGGCGAGATTATCGGGATGGATGTAATGGTTTTGAATTGTTATTTCAAAAGACATAAATTAATTATGTTTTGTGATTGTGATTTGTTAAGCTTCCGCAACATTGAAAACTCCAAATTGTTTCTGTTATGAAAAATAATATTGTGATAAATAAAAGTGTTTGAAATATTTTAAATTTTATTATTACCAAGTTTATACTTTAGTCCGAAAGGGGATACAGACCTGAACGGATTAGGGTGTTACAAACTAAATGTATTATGAATGATTCTACAAATCTAACGTCAGACATAAGTATATGGTAGAGAGCTTATTTTTGTAGAGGAAACAAAATGATTTTAAAACCTCAATGTACGGTCAACGAACGGACATCACAATCTATTTCTAGCTTTCCTGGTCTTGTGGTATTTTCTTAGAACCTTGATAGAACAGAGGTAAATGACATGAAGAGAGTATTGGAATGAGCATAGTATTGATAGAGATGAAGTATACTCACTTATCTAGAGTTTCCTTCTTAAACTCCATTAATGTTGAAGGAAGAAGCTTGCAAGAACTCTTGCTAGGGATGATGGTGGATGAATGAACGATTTCAAGTCTCCTTTTTATTATAACCATGCAGGGATTGAGGGATGTGGCTAGCTCAACCACCTAACACCTTCATCCACAATCATGCAAGAGAGTTGAGAGGTGTGGTTAGAAACATGAAGTTGAGGGGGGTATGTTTCAAGGATGGTGCATGGATTTTTGGATGGAGAAAGGAGATAATTTGATGCGAAGGGAATATTTGTGGATTTGAGAACAAAATCTCTATTCTGGAAGATAGTTTATCTATTTGAATTTCGGGTTGTTTTCCAAAGTGAGTCTAATTTCAAATTTGGTCGCATTTTGAACTCAGAAAAATAAATGCAGTTTAACGATGCAATTGAAATATTTTTACTAGTATTTTTATTTTTCAGGCCTTCAAGGCCCACATGTTCGACTTTAGGTATTTTATTATTTATTCTTTTAGACCAATTTTTGTAGCGTTACACCTTGTGCGTGATGGACACATGAGTTTTAGATTTGTGTTTCGCTCTACTAATGAGGCTGTGCATTTGTTGGCACATAATACTCATTCCATTGAGAGCGTAGGGGAGTGAGTTGTTTCACCGCAAGACTTTATTGTCACATCTCTCTAATGAGATGTTTATGGTTGAAGGTGTATTCAATCAAACCAGAAATGTACAAAAACAAAAAAAAAACAATCACACTAGATTAAAGTGTAATTAGTCGCTTTTTTTTCTTCCACCCAAAACAAAAAAGCAATGCGCTTCAAACTGTCGGGAATCAAAGTGTCTCGCACTCTCTCTCTCTCTCTCTCGCCCATTTATTATTCCTCCCTTCCCTCCAAATACAAACCTTCCCCTTTCTCGGGCCTCGAGTTTTCTCACTTTTATTCTTTTATCTCTCTCTCTCTCTACCCACCCAAAAAACACCACTCTCACACACCACACAGTCACACACGGTCCTTTTTCTCTTCTGTCATGCTCACGAGTCTTCACACCGTGCATCCCAGTTTCTCAATACCCAAAATCTCGCAAAAATCCCTTCTTCAATTCTGTCTCTATTGCTGAATTCTTGAAAGAGTATTGAAGAAATGGAGGAGGCTTCAGCTTCAAACTCCGCTCCTTCTTCTTCTAAGGTTCGTTTGGTACGCTGCCCAAAATGCGAAAATCTTCTGCCCGAACTGCCAGATTTCTCCGTCTACCAATGTGGTGGCTGTGGTGCTGTTCTCAGAGGTACCCGAGGCTCTTTAACCCAGTTCTTGCATTTTCCTGTCAAATTCGTGCTCCGGGTTGGGTGAACTTAGCTTTTAGTTCCCCCTCTTGTGAAAAAGATGCGTTTTTTTTGTCATGGGTGTGGTTAAGTTTCAATTTTTCTTAACTAATTTGATAAAAAAACATGAATGTGGTGAATTTTGGAGATGAGATGTGTTTTACCATTGAAATGTTTCAATATTTTCTTAATTGATTTGATAAAAAGAATGAATATGGTGAATTCTGGAGATGAAATGTGCCCAACCACTGAAATGTCTGATTTTGAACTTTTGGTATTTATTAGTCTGATTAGTGCTTATTTTGGATGTTACAGCAAAGAAGAATGGGATTTCAAAGGATGGACTGCCGGAGGTTTCGGATGTCGAAAATGGTAGAACTGTTTCTAGTAAAGGGGTCATTGCTACGGGGCTAGAAAGTGCTTGTGAAACTGAGGTGGAATATAGTGGATTTGAAACCGGTAAGGAGAAGGCCTTGCATAGTAATTCATCATTGGGACCCAAGAACGTAGAAGCCGTGCCTAGAGACCATGAACCCTTTTCAGTTCCCAAGAGGCTTGATTTATGCAGAGGGGATAACGTTTACGATGAAGGCGAGCACGGATGTTCTAATGGTGAGCTTGATGATCGGGCTTTCAGAAATGATGGTTTGGTTGAGTTAGGTGTTCCTCAATGTGGTGGCGACTCTAGTGTTGGGATGGAACCCAAACGGGCCAGACCTTCAATGGAGTCGTTAAGTTTTAGGCCTGTTATCGATAATAGTAGGGTTGAGGAAAGGAAAAACCTCAAGGAATTGTGTGAAGATGCTAGACAAGCTGCAGGGCAGGCGAGGTTTATGGATTGCCCATATTCGGATGAGGGGTCTTCGAAGTATGGAACAAGTTCATATTACGGCGCTAATGAGTGTAGGAATTACTATAATGGTTTGGATGGTTTTGCTAAAGTTGCAACTCTTGAGAATGACAGAGCCGATCTTCTGAGGAAGATTGATGAACTAAAAGACCAACTTAGCTTGACCTGTGAAGTGGGAGATAATAAACCCAAGGAAAGAATCAGTGCCGATAGGCGAACAGCCCCAACTACATTTGGTCCAATCAAGCACCCCCTTGGGCAAGGTCAGCATCTAGGCTATCCATATGACCGAGTAGGTGGTCCTTATACCCGTAGGCATTGCTCGATGATCCAAGACCCCTACCACCCTCCAGTGCCTTTTAGAAATGGAACTCTAGGTTGCGAAAGTGCATACTTGGATGAAATAATCAGAAAGCCTCCCCATCAGCCATATTCAGATTTAACACAAATGTATCATGACCACCAATATCCTGGTCCATCGGATTTAACTTCAGATCTCTTTAGGCCACACCCACATGAAAGCCGTTTTCACCACCCCACCTGCTCTTGTTTCCACTGTTTCAACGAAAATAGGGAAGCATCTTTTGCATCAATTGCAAGCCGATGGCCACGAAATGAATCTCCTAACCCTGCTTTGTGTCAACCCAAGAGTTCTTCCGCACATGGTTATGCCTCTGAAGGCTCCATATGCCCTAATGGGAAATGGCTTACAAGAAGTTCAAGCGACTTGAATAGAAAAAACTGTGCTGTTGGTCTTCACCAGAACCGTCCAAGGAAGGTATTCGTTGCCCGTGGCAGTGAGAAGGTGTGCAGAACTATTGCAGGTGGGGCCCCTTTTATATTGTGCTACAACTGCTTTGAGGTTCTGAAACTCTCACAAAAAGATAGGATGATGACGAAAGAGCATAACAAAGTAAGATGTGGAGCATGTTCTTCCATCATTGTGTTTGAACTAAGCATCAAGGGCATTGATGCATCAGCTCCCCGGATGAAACAAGTGCGAGCTGATGAATCCATTGATATGCATAACAAGAGACTTCATGGTTCTAGTGGATTCGTCAGTCCCTGCTCTGATGATTATGATAAACACAACTTCAAGTACGAGTTCCCGGATACTAAGGCCGAAGCATTTGCAAGCTGCCCAAAACCAACATTTGGTGATTCAAGAAAGAGGCTTGAAGTTCATTCGCTGTCGTCAAGTTTCTCAGAACATGATAAAAGCCCAGGGGCTGGCATTCCTAGAAAAGATTATTCTCGCTCCGCAGAGTTGCATGTTAAAGATGATGTGTCCCTAGTACTTCCAGATTCACCTCTCCCTCTTGATTATCCTTCTTCAGATGATATGGCTGATGCATGTAATAGGGCAGCTAGAACTGAATCTGCAGATCAAAAGTGTATTGATGGGTGGGCCTCTCGGCATAATTCCATGAAAGATGCATGTGTGGCGACTGAGATGGACGTTTCAATTGCTGATTTTGGAAATGGTGGCATGCCTCAAGAACCCACTGAAGTTACTAAGGAAGAAGATCGGCAGAATGGTAAAAGGGGTAGTGATTCCTTCATTTTAGGCCTCCTTAGAAGGGGCTTCGGAGAATTATCAAAGTCTGGTCAGAATACTGAAAACAGGAGATCAAATGTGTTTGTAAACGGGCAACTCATATCAGGCCGTGCTCTAAAAAAGGCAGAAAAGTTAGCAGGCCCTATTCAGCCAGGAGAGTACTGGTAAGAATCTAAAACTTTGAGTTTTTTTTTATTTAAAAAAATCTGCATTTCTTTCCAAATACAAGTAAATCTACTGGGCATGCTATTGTGCTCCATAGTGAGAGCCCATTTCTTAAATTTTCCGTGTAAAAAACTTTGCATTGAAGCTAAAAAGGACAAATTCAATGGCTTAACATGGCCAATTCCATTGTATTCGCTCTTCATAAATGTAAATACCAGCCTCCTGATTTTGCCCCTTTGTGACAGTTCCTTCCAAACTGCATTCTTTGTGTAGTCGTGACTTGGTTGAATACTCTCATTAGCACTTGTTACAGTATCCCACATCAGAAATGAGTTTATAAGTTATTGAGTTGAACTGGTAATCAATTGCATTCAATATTCTAATGTGATTCAACCAATTCAGTGACCCTTACCCCATTCTAAACTCTATCATGGTATCGGAGTAGGTTATGTCCCACCTTGTTTGTCAAGGTGTCCGTATAGAGGGGAAGGGAGTCCATTTGCAAGTGGTCAACTGGTTAGATTCAAAATGGCGGTTGCTCACTTGAAGGGAGTGTTAGAGTATATAAGAAGAAATTAATGAGTTCATAAGCTATTGAGTTGAACTAGTAATCAATTGGATTCAATCTTTTAATGTGGTTCAATTGGCCTAATCCAGTGACCCTTACCCAACCTAAATTCTATCAGCACTCCATATGAGAAGTAATTCGCTTCCCTTCCAATAATTGTATCAGGTATGATCGCACGGCAGGATTTTGGGGCGTGATGGGCCATCCATGCCAAGGAATCATCATGGTGAGAAGAGAATTATTAACTTTGTGTATATGTGTATGTACCATGAATATTGATGATGCACAATGGTGTACTTCCTTGCAGCCAAACATAGAAGAGTTTAACCACCCTATGCCAAAAAATTGTGCTGCTGGAAGCACGTGCGTGTTTGTGAACGGGCGCGAGCTTCACAAGAAGGATCTGGATCTACTCGTCAGGCGAGGCCTTCCACTTACCAGAAACAAGTCATATCTAATTGAGATGTCAGGAAGAGTTGTTGACTATCAAACTAGCGAAGAGCTTGACAGCCTCGGCAAACTTGCCCCAACGTAAGTTTTTCGATCTCTTTCTGGCGATTTCGTATGTATGAGTAGCTGTTGACCATTTAGCTTGTTCTCTTCGTCTGATCTGATTGAATATGATATGATTTTATTAAGGTCTGATCTGATTGTAGTTATATATGAAGCTGTTTTTTATCAGATCCGATTCTAATAAGAATAAATAAGAAGCTCTTGTGTTCTGATTTGTGCATTGACAGAGTTGAAAGAGCAGGGCATGGATTTGGCATGAAGATTCCCAGATCGATTTTGGAGGATTCGCTTTAGGTGATGATGATCATAACTCAATCTCATTTGCAGTTCTTTGGGAAATGCAGTTGTATTTTCTGATGCCCATTTTTTTTATGTTCTTCGCGTGCTGGATTTGCGCTGAAATGGCTGATGACAACAAGCTTTGCAGATTCAAATTTATGTGGGGGGGAATGCGAAAATTGCAAGTGTTATGATGTTTTAATCAAGTTGATAACTTAGTTATTCATTAACAAGTTTTTGCACACAACAATTGGTTAATAATATTGCGATGAACAAAACTCCTCTCTCCGTCCGGATTTAATCTTTTCATTTTGACTTTTCTTCATTTTGGGTTTTCTTAAAGGAGGTTGACTATGGAGTCGCTTTATCCAAAATGCCCTTACTAAAAAAGTGGAAGCAAGTGGATTGTCAGAAATTTTTAATGAAGGGAGTGTATTTTTGAGAAATGAGAAAATTAGATTAAGACCGAAGAATGAAGAAACGGGAGTACAATGGAAATTCAAAGGCCATTGTATTGAAAAATTGCAATTTGAATTGAGATCTATTAGAATATAGAAATGTAGGAGTATTTGATAAAAAAAGTTAGGTCATTTTTTCTTCAACTTATTCTTTCTAGTATCACACTTGTGTGTTTCACGACTCGTATTTACGTTAGGAATATATATTGGTGTCATTATTGATGAAAAGAAATAGATCATATAATGAAATATAAGGTTTTTTATTATTTTAGAGCAGAATTTGTAAAACATATAGTTGTGGGAACAATTTGTTGGAAGATCATCTGCGTTGTATATTAGAATCTTCAAGTCATTACGATTTGTTACTTTTGAAATCACAATAAAGACTTACCATGACTACATACTGGTTTCCGTATCAACAATCCCACGTATTTTAGAGATTGACCTTAACTCTTATTAATCGTCACTGCATATGAAGTACTCACAAAGAATTGTTTTTTTGAAACTTGACTCTTATTATCATCTAAGTTGCACAACTCTGATCTATTTTTTTGAACGTCAACCACGTAAAATAAAAAAAGGTTTTTTATGCGAGAAGTTTACAAAAATGGTACGCACCCAAAATGCAACAAAGAAGCACTTTTACAATTTATTTACTTTGCCTTTTTTGTACCTTACACTAACCATTTATTATATTTATACTTACCATTTACTATTTATTATTTGTTTGCTTTTTAGATGAAATTTTTATTGTTGTGTTTTCCTTTTTCATAAATAATTTAAAATGGTGAAAGACTAATTTATTTAAAAAGAATTTATTATTGAGTGGGGTTTCATTGACACTGGCCAACGGTGCCACTAGCAGTGTCACTGCATTTTTAAAGCACCTCCGATGCTCCGTTCGAAAACTTGATAGTTCCTACCCCTCCCCTAACTCACCCCCTAAACCCCCCACCTTAGCCCTACCCCCAGCCCGGCCCTAAACCTCCCTCTAAATGTATGACTATTATGCATTGCCCTTTATTATTTATGTGAACGTAAAGAATTTATTAACCATGCACCAATTTGCAGACTTAACATGTTTAACCCATGATGTTTTGCATAATTACCATTTCTTTTGAAAAGTCATGGGTGAAAATTCTTGGTCACAATTTCCCCTCCTTTAAAAAAAAGATAGATTACTTATTATTTTTTATTAGATTCAGATCAGACTAGATCGGATTAGGACTTATTCTTATCAAATCAGAACTATTGTGCCATGTTCTCTCCACCTGATTTGAATGGTTCTGATCTGATTGGAATAAATTCTGATATGGTCTCATTTGATATGATCTAAATATAGTTATATTTAAAGTTGTTTCTGATTTGATCTGATTCAAATACGAAAAAGTAATAAATAATAAAAAAAGTTGAAGAGAACATGACCTTACTTAAAGGAATAAAAATCTTGTGATTTTTGGATTAAATATAAAATGGTACTACCTTCGTTCCTGATTATTTGTCCAGTTTTGACTTTTTTTGGTCAACTGTTTTCAACCTTTGACCTATAATTAAATAGAATATATATTGTATTTTAATTAAATAAAATAATATTTTGAAAATATTTGATATAACAAATCTAATAAAACTTTTTTTGTATCAATATCTAATATCATTTTTATTTAATTTGAGGTCAAAATTTACCAATTTTAACCAAAAAAAGTTAAAAGTGGACAAATACTATGGGACAAAGGGAGTATTTAAGAATGAATGAAATTTTGAAATTAAAAACGAAAATTTGACCGCAATAAGAAGAGAAGTTTATGTAGACATAGGGGTGACATTGGTGGCAATGGGTTTCACGACCCGACCCATATCCGCAGACCCATATTCACTTTGAACAATATAGATCTATCTTTTTGGACGCAGTGGGTAAAAAAGTTGGATATGGGCCCAAGCTCTCATCAACAAATTTGAATATGGGTCCAAGCCCTCTTAAACGGGTTTGAATATGATTTAGACACAGATCTCTACCCATATCTTTATTATCCATATTCAATTATTCATGTTCGTCATGTTAAACAATTTTCCTTTCTTTGGCATTTTTTTCAAAATGGATTTTTTTTTTGTGGAAATAAAATTGTACTTTTCTCGGCGGTAGTTAGTCAAAATATTAAGGAGTAGTTCTATATTCACCCAGGTTCAAGTGACATTGGACCTCAATGTCATGGGATGACCCGGGGGCGCACCGGTGCCCCGTTCGTAAAATTGACGGTTTCTACCCCTGGTAAACCCCCCCACCCGGCCCCGACCCGAACACACCCCCCACCCCCTTCAATTGCACTCCAAAAGTTGATTTTGACTTTGGAGTCAAATTTTAACTCCAAAGTCAAAATCAACTTGTGTGGTGCAATTGAATAGGGGGGGGTGTGTGTTCGGGTCAGGGCCGGGTGGGGGGTTTACCGGGAAGGTAGAAAATGTCAATTTTACGAACACGACACCGAAGCGCCCACGGGTCATCCCATGACATTGAGGTCTAATGTCACTTGAACCTTCACGTACTATTTTTATATTAAATACCCCCTTTATCCCACAATAATTATTTTTATTTTCTTTACTTAATTTCATTACTCATTAGATAAAATAATATCTTTTTCCATCCCAAATGAATTATTATCTCTTTAGCATTGAAATAAAAAAAATTATATATTCATAAAATAAATCAAAAGTTCTACTACTCCCTCCGTCCCGTTTTAAATCGCCCGTTTTGATTTTTGGGCATATTTAAGAAAAATAAAAAATAGAGTTGATTTTTCGAAATTGTTAGTACTTTTTAGGAGGGATGATGATGAATGAGAAGATAATGTGGAGAAGAGTGACTTTCTTTAGAGGTAGCTTAGGTATTTTACTCTTAAAAGTTTACGAAAACAACTAACAGGCAACTTATTTTGGGACGGAGAAAAAAGGCAAACAGGCAATTTAAAATGGGACGGAGGTAGTATATTTTAAAGAAATATATTTTTTTTAAAATTTTATCCCAATTTTCATATGAATTGAATTGAAAAATAAATCCAATCAACCATCATAATTTCAATGGACATATGTTTGTGGGATAGATATTCACATAGGGTCTGTTTGGGAATAACGTTATATTAGAAATTAGCGTTAGCGTTTTGAAAAGACTGTCTACGGGCCGCATTTAGTGTTAGCATTTTCAAAGTAATCTGCACGGTTAAAATTTTATATAAAATGTTGGCGCTAATCTCTAACGTTATTTCCAAACAGACTCATAATCAATTTAATACTGTAGTAGTTAATGAGACAATTCCAATAAAGGCTCCATCCTTGCCTCTGTTCTTTTGTCCCCTTCTTGGGATTGTTTAATCGGTTGAATGGTGAAGAATTTGAAGTGCAACAATGGGGTGCCATAACGATGAATTTTCTTAGAAATAAATAAACTGCCATCAGCGCCCCAAAAATTAAATTTAATTTTTCTTTGACCCATTAGATAGGATCGACTACATGAATAAAAAAACATCAGTGTCATATCATGTATCATATCTATCGTGAGATCATTCACGCGAAAGTCTCTGTTTGCCAAGTCCTCTTAGGTCTATCAATTTTCTAGCCGCATGTCTATTCACCATCTAATCAACCTTTCTCACAGGATGCTCTATGGATCTTCTCTCTACGTGTCTAAACGACTAAGGCACGTTTCCACCATCTTTTCTACAATAGTACCACTCCAATTACGCGTATGGTCGCTAATTCAACGAAGCATCTTTATTTTTGCCACAATACATTGTGTTCATGTTCACCATTTGCTTCCCAACACTCTGTTTCATACAATAGAGTTGGTCTAATAGTTGTACGATAAAAATTTTTCCTTTAGTTTTATAAGTATTTTTTTGTCACATATAAAGCCTAAAACACTGTCATTTTGACCAACCGACTTGAATCTTGCAGCTAAGATCATCCTCTATTTCTCCAAATACGTGGGGACACTTATGTGGTTAGTTAGCCCCTTGGTCCCTATAAATATACCTTCTACATCTTTCTAACATTCTTGAATTACAAAAGGCTCTATCTATTTAAGCTTCATATCTCACATATTCTATTGCTTTCCATCTAATTACTACTACTACCCCGTACGTCACAAGTCTAATTTTCCGATAAATTTAAAATCAAAGAAAGCACAAATGCATTTACAGAGAAAGAAAGCACTGCTCAAAACTATAGTTACAATTACATTTCCCGGACGTTTTAATCAACAACAAACCTTTTTTTTCAGACAATTGAATGGTAAAAAAGGGAACGAAAAAAAGAAAGAAAGAAAAGAATACGTGACATGGTATGGAGTTAGTAATTTAGAAGGCCGAAGAGCATGCGCAAGATTGATAGTCCGCGGCGAGTTCAGTGCAGGGTGAGGGGCTTACCTCAGTGGCAGAACCACTGGCATCGGAGCATTTCCATGGAGGGTTGCGCGATGATCTGGCGCCGTTAAGGTTGATGTTGCATAGACAGATGTCAGTGAAAGGAGATTTTTGTATGCCATGTACTAAACCGGGCTGCAGGACCCGTTCACCCCATACGTTCTTAATTTTGATGTCCTGAACCACAGGGAGAGCATTCGGGTTGAACCAGTCATCTGGGTGGTCACCTACATCACCAGCGATTTTTATCCCGGTTCGTGCGTTTTGCATGTAGACATTAGAGACAGTAATGTTTCTTATGAACCCTCCGCGACCGATGTTAGTTTTTATGTGGATGCCAAAACCCATGTTGGAAAGGTTTATATGTTCAGCCAATATGTCTGATATGCCCCCAGAGGTCTCACTTCCCACTGCAATTCCAGCAAAAGGGGAAGATCCAGTCACCCTGCGTATGGTGATGTCATGGCTAGGACGACCGAAAGCAATGCCATACTCATCCCACCCACTCTTTACTGCCACCATGTCGTCCCCTGTGGATATATAGGAGTCCTCTATGCAGACATGAGAACTTGAATCTGTGGCAATTTATGGATGTAATTTTAATGGTTGAATGATTTCAAAAAGAAAATCCAGTTCACTGCAACAAAACGAATACCAAACAATGCCTAAAGCTACTTCCCCTAAAAAGGGCTACCCGGTGCACAATGCTCCCAGTAGTTCGGCACTTGGACTCTTGGCGTCCGGGGAGAGTAAATGATGCAGCCTTTGGCCACTCCTAGGATTCGAACCCGTGACCTCCAGGTCACAAAGTGACAACCTTACAGCGTTGTGCCAGGGCTCACCCCCTAAAGGGGAGTAAGATGTAAATATGATTGTTGTTGTTTAAGAGCGGGCGACTTTTGTTAGGTGAAATTTTGGCGTACCAGGATCAATTCCATCGGTATTAGGAGAATCGGATGGAGCCAATATGGTGACATGTCGAACAACAAAGTTGCTGAAAGAAAAAGATAATTACAAATGTCACCTTAAATCTTGAACTTAAAACGAGGTAGTGAATTACCATCAGGAGTCTTCGTATAGGTTTCATTTGTGGCATTGTGATTATGAGATATAAGGTTTCAACTTTCAAGATCATCTATCAAACTGAATACAATGAAATATAACAAGGAATAAAAAGTGACACCAGCATAACTTACCTGCAATACACCGGGTGGATATTCCAAAAGGGGGAATTCTTGAGTATTACATTGGAAATGATTATGGATCTAGAGTTCATGAATTCAATAAGATTTGGTCTAGTGAACTGCAGAGTCCTTTGTCTCCACATGTCCCACCAGACATCTCCATGGCCATCAATTGTCCCATTTTCACCTGAAAAGTGTGTTGCTTAGCATGTAGTATGAAACAAGGGAAAATCAAACAATTTATCCTTAAAATATAGGGTAACTGTTAATTTAAAAACCCAAATCCAAGTTACGGACATTGCATTTTTGGTTCTTAAGTAATTTATGACATGATGTAAACGGCCTTAAAAGATCATTCCTGCTCCTACAGTCCCTAAGACAGTGAGTAAGACCTCAGTGATGACTGATCACTCATGTGCTACTATGATATATCTATATATAGAAACCTAATTCCACAACTAGCCTCTGTTTTAGGAATAGAAGTTCAAGTTAACTAGTTAAGTTTGTCTAACTTATAATACCACAGAAAGTCAGATCAGAACGGAAAGCTCAAATCTCTGATCATGGGCGTAGCTATGGAGAGGACATACCGGGTCCGGCCAATCCTATATCTGGTAAAATTACAATTGTTGTGAGTACATTTTTTTAAGTATCTACAGTGCAAAAATGGTGTGACAAGTTAGTTCAATACTTGAATGTATTACGGTGTAACTTATTCTCTTTCCTAATCGGATTAATTTTTTTTGCGAACGCATTATTTTCAATATTAGTCTGACTAAGCTCAGTATTCGGTGCCTGCTATTTCTGTGTGTCATATGAAAGAGTAACTTAGTATCCGTTTGCCATTGCCTTAAGTGTTAGCCCTTGGCAAAATTGCAAAAACTATCCAACGGCAGTCTTTAATTAAAAAATCATTCAAAATCCTAACTCTAATTACAAATGTAGTTCTCAAAGAGACCCTTTTTTTAATCTATACTCACCAGTGATAATTACATCTTGAAGCCCATATCCATGAATAAAGCTCATATATCTTCCCCCGGGTCGCTCTCTTCCCCTTCCATACGAAGGCAAAGGAGGAATTAAAGGCCAATTTCCTGAATCCTGCATTTAAAAAATTAAAACTTTAAAAAATACAAAGGAAACTTATCATTAAAAAAAGCCATAAGCAATACCAGACTGAAATCTGCCTAAACATAAGAAATCTTGTAAAATCCCACTAAAACAAAGATATGCAGTCTTATAGGCAAACAATGTTATCCGAAAATCCCCATCTAGCAGTTCTAGCCTCATTCAACGGCTTTCGATTTCGAATCTGTTTTTTTCAACTAAAGTGCACCAAACTTATAAATCTAGCTCAAGTGAAATTAACTCAAAGTTCGTTGTAATTTGAAGTGAACAGAATCTAATGAAACTAAACTTAACTGAGTTGAAAATAAATTAAAAATTTTGAGGAGGGTTATGTTGACTACCTGGGAAGCTTTAACGACAGCATCTTTAGCCAAGAACAGAGTCATGTGGCTTGTGAGATTGAAAGGTCCGGTCAGATAAACGCCGGCCGGAATGTAAAGAAGAGTGCCGCCGGTTCTATTCAAATGTTTGATTCGATAAATTGCTTCCACAAATGCATTTGTGTTAAGTGTCTTGTCGTCTCCGACCCCTCCGAAGTCTGCTATCGATATCCAGTTGCTCCGGTGCCTCATCGGGACTATCCCGGAGCATGTTTTCCACTCGGACGCCGCCGCCGAGTAGATCACCAGAAGGAATAGATACCCGCAGCAGGGTAAAGTAGAGGGGGAAAATCGAAGCATCTCAGATTCGGAAGAGAAGAATCAACTTCACGAGAAGGATCTTAGACGGGGAAAATGGAAGGATCCAATGGCGTATGATTTCTTTTCCTTTTCTGAAGACCTTACTTTTAGAAAATACTGTATACTATTCAGGGAAGACTGGTTTGTGCCTCCGGTTTAGCAAGACCAGGGATTTCCATTATTGAATTCAAGCAATAATGGCTACTCAGTTGGAGATGGAGACGCCCATAATATTACTATCTCCGGAAAAAATGGTGATATATGGAGTATTTTCATTATTAGTATTATCAATTTAGGTGGGGTTCGCATGACATTAGGGTCTCAAGAGGTGTGATTTTTACGATTCCAAACGCAAGTCCCTAATTGGGGTTAATTTCAGACCCATTCGGATATACTCTTTGGTCCAACTTTTTCCAAATTGAAATCTGTTTGCACCATTGCGATCGGACAGTAAAACTCTATCTGACCTTATAATTTTTATATTTATTTGTAATGTTTTTTCCAATATTATATTTTTGGGTGATTTACTATGATAGATTCAAAATTGATTTAGTTGACCTTTATTCAAAAAGTTCTCTCATTTAATTCATATTACTTATTCTCATGATTTATTTCAATAAATCATTTCAAAGTTCATATCATAAAAAAATTCTTTATTTATTCTTAATTTGGGTTTGTACTCTGGTTCCAATTAAGATCACACAATAAGTCAACATATTGGATTTATCAATATGAGATTTATCCAGATTGTGATATTGGATATCAAAACATGTTTCATTTTGGCCCAAGCCCAATAATAATTTATCTTAATCAAACAAATTTGTTTAATTGAATAATAATTCAATAATAATTTTAGAGAATGTTTTGGGGCGTTACATATATTCTCAGGTTGCATCCTCAGCTCCGGTTGTTTAGGCTCGGGTATTAACAATGACAACGTGTTGTACTTGCGCTTCATGCACAACTCTGGGGGGAGATTGCAAATGACAAGCAATACGGGCCAAGTATTATGTTGTGTACTCAATATTCCAAAAGGATTGATCCCATCAGTACACAATCTCAGTTGAAGGTCCTCCCCTCGTTCCCAAACTTGGGAAATGTGTAGTCAATCGTCCTCCACTGCAGGGCATCACAGGGTGGCGAAGGGTGTCATTATCTTTTCACTGCTCTGTGTGCCACACTAGAATCTTTGCATCTTTAATTGAAGCAAACAAGCGCTTGCACCCTGGTATTATTGGAAGGTATCACAAAACCGTATTCGGAGTCTTTTTGACATTTTTCGTATTGTCCTTGTCCAGAATGCCTTTGGTCGACTCCTTGTATATTGCAGCAAAACATTTGGGACATTCATTTAGATCATCGTACTCATTTCGAAACAAAATGCAATCACTAATACAAGCATGTATCTTCTTGTACCCCTTCCTCATTGGAGACATCATTTTCTTCGCCTCCTAAGTGGATGATGGCAGTTCGTATCCATTCTGAAGAATTTCACCCAACAAACCTAACAAGGACGTGAAGCTCTTGTCACTCCACCCGTTTGCTACTTTTAAATTGAGCAATGCCAATACCTCTTTAATTCAGACGTGTAAGCTTTGTATAACCATGATATAATAGCCGTTTTGAGTTCCCTACTAAACTCTCATACGCTCTTCATCGATGACATCTTGATCATGATGAACATCTTGAGTACACCGTAACTCATCTTCCATTTTAGCCTCAAAACCCTGAATATTGTCAATATTGTCTTCTACTTGTTCGTTATAAGTATAGCTAGAGCTACCAGCATTTTCTAACTCTTCATGCTATATCCATTGTTTGTATGTTGGGTCGAAACCCTTGCGATACACATGGAATCTTATATCCTTAATGCTATCAACCATAAAATGGTTATGACGTAAGTTACAAGGGTAATATATCCTTTCCCTCTCTTTTGAATATTCTCTACGAAACGAATAAACTTTTCCAAACCAGAACTAAACTCAGGTGATGTACGCGGTATATAAATCCAACTTCGATCAATCATATGAATTGCTAGCTAGGAAACAGATGAGCAAATCAATAGACCAGTTATATATACATATAACAAATACAGACAACACAATATTTCATTTTTGATCTTATGATGTAACAAAAACATGACAATATTTCTTCATTATATAAATGGTTCTTCTTTACTCCATCCTAACTCATTCTTGAAATGCTACCCTCATTAGTAAATGCATTTCATTTCCTTTGATCCATCAAAATTTCGGTAGCATTTTCCAATGGTTCTCCAAGTGCACGATGTAATATAATTACATATGCACCCGAAGAACGCATTGCGGAAATGTCAAACCAAAAAAATGTTAAAACAAAGAAAAAGAAATACATTCATCGCCTAAGTGAGGGAAGAAGTTCAAGAACAGTTCCAAACTGGGAGCTATTTAAAATTTTCTCCTTGTGAGTAAATTTTAAACGAATATCTAAGTCGGTCGATATATGTTATTTCTACTTAAAAACATCTCAAGTCATGTAGTATCCAACAAATAAATAATATACAATGTATGTTCTTATTACCATCAAACGAGTAAACAAATAATAAATAAACAACATAGCATCACATATTCTATTAATATAAGAATACACAAACAATTGAAATTATATTTAGGATTTAAAGAAAAAATAAAATATGATATAGCCTCAAGTATTCAACTAATGAAGAAATCTATAAATAAATAATAGTATAATTTACTGTAATATTTAAAGTGAAAAGTAAAAAAATACCTTAGAATGGGCGAAGGTGGCATCTACAGCGGTGGTGACGGTAGAGCAGTGTCGAGGACGGGAGGGCGACGGTGGGAAGGTGGCAATGGCGGGAAGGAGGCAACGTGGTAGGTGGCAACGATGCGAAGGAGCAAGGAAGAAGACTTAGGAAGAAGACGGCAAAGCAACGATGGCGTCGGCGGGGGTGGAGGACGACAAAGCGACGATGTGGTGACGGTGAACCCTTGGTGACGACGGCGAAGAAGCGACGGTGGCAGTGCTGAAGGAAAAATAGATCGCATAAGAAAGATAGTTTGCACGTGGCTATTTTTAATCCACCCTTTTGGATCGGTTATTAGTAATAACTGATTTATTAGGCTATTGAATTGGTTACTACTAATAACCAATTCAATTACCGGTTGGCGAACAAGCAATTGAATCTGTTATTGGTAATAACCGATTCAATAGCCTGTTGAATCGGTTATTAATAATAACCGACTCAATTGCTACTGGTTTGCGAAATCAAATACCCCATTTGCATTGCTTTTTTATGCGACGGATTTAAATGAGAGGAATTTACGTAAATAGCACTAAAACATAATGACTTTCCCTAAATAACACTACATATGTTTTTTTCTCAATGTAGCACTTTTAGTCATTATCCATTAGTCATTATTCAAGTAAATATTTGTCATCACTGGTCATTATGGACATTATAAAGTGCTATTTAGGGAAGAAAATAATCTAAGTGCTATTTAGAGAAATGACTTAAGTTTTAGTGCTATTTAGTGTAAATATTTCTTTAAATGGGGCAAACCATTTGCATCGCTCATTCTTTTTTATTTCAAGAAATAAATAAGGAAGAGATAGTCCTCCCTATTCTAATATCAAATTGTAAATTTATATTTCACTTTGGTATACAAACTTTAGTTTAAAAAAAAATTAAAAGTCAATTAACAGGTTTTCAAAATTAAATTAGAATTTTATAATTTAAGTTTTATAAATTTAGACGCCAATTCTTTTTTCTTTATTTTCCTTTCCTATTTATATTCTTCTTCTTCAATTTCTAACCCTCACCACAATTTTTTCTCCAAATTATATTATTCTTCTCACCCTTGTTTTTTTCCTTCTTTCTTCTTTTGTTCTTCATCTTCTTCTTTATTCTCCTTCTTCTCGGCTTCTCGGTGAAGAAGGGAGGGTGGGGTTTGGAAATTGAATAAGAAGAGAAATGGGGATAGAAAGAAAAACAGGAATAAGTATTTTAATAAATTTAAATTTATAAACATATAAATTGGCCTCATGTGACTTGTTAGATACTTGATGATGGACATTCGGTGGAAAAAAAACTGAAGTTCATATATTTTGAGAGAAAAAAATATATACTACCTCCATCTCAGATTATTTGTCCACTTTTATTTTTATATACAATCCAATACACTTCTTTAATCCATTTTATCTTGTAATTTGTATATTAAAAAATTATAGAAATTATATACGGAGTATTAATAATCTATATGTTAAGACAAATCAAACAAGATCACACATGACTATATTTAAGCTTACACATTCAGAGAATTTGATGAGTCAAAATGCTTAGATGAATAGTTCCAAAAGTCAAAAGTGGACGAATATAGCGAGACGGAGGGAGTGTATACCAAAGTAAAATTACTTCAAAATTCATATACTAATAGTAAAATTTACACAAAATTGTAGGGACATATTTGTGACGGAGGGAGTGATAGACAAACTACTCAATAGAAGAATACCATCCGAGGAAGAAAATACTTTTAGTAAAATCACTATTAGTAAAATTTACACAAAATTGTATGGCACCAGCGTTACATTAGGTTAATTTCCCGTTTCAATTTACAATATTTGACTATTACTGCATTTGATTCTAGCTCTACAAAACAAGTGGTAATATGACTATATTATTTTATCAAATAACCAATGAAAATAAATAAAAAAAGTGATTAAAACCCTGTGAACAACTTAAATTGAGATGGGGAGTACAACAAAATGAAGTCTAAATTAGGGTATGTTTGTTTACTTAGCTATGGAGTAGATATTACAATATAAGCAAAAAGGAAGAAAATAGTTTAAAGCAGTTTTTATATGTGCACTATGAGTAACAAAGATTACAACACACCAATAAGGAGGCAAAACCATCATTGTCATTCTTCCACATGTAAGCTCATTTAGCACTCTTGTACATGTTGTCAATGACACTCTGCAAGGCAAGTCAACTTTCATCATTGGACAAAAAAAGAAGACCAAAAAATCATGCACATTAAATCCTTGGAAAAATAATGGATGTTTCTATTAAATTCACAAGTGCGACTACCCCAAGTGTTGCACAAGGCACTAGGCGTCCATTGGGCACTCGAATATCGCTTAACACACTTGGAAGTTGTTGTCAGTGAACCAACTCAACCAAAAGCTCAAGTTTAAGGTTGTATGC